TTGTCTTGCACTTTGTATAGGATTTTAGTATGAGCTTTGCAGTAAACTTTCACTAGACATGATATAGCCTATATGCTGTGAACTATGCTTGTTATAGTTCATGTCTACTCCAATCGATGCTCATTTTTATCAGGTTAAAAGGATTCTATGTTATCTACAAGGAAATTTATAAATTGTGGCCTTTCATGTTTTAGTTATTAATTTGGAGTTAGCTTATAGTGATGCAAATAGGACTACCAAAGTTAATACAATAATGGCGATACCCATTTCATGGAAATTGAAGAAAAAATTGTGTGTCTCGAACTTCAGTGGAGGCAGAGTATAAGGAACTTGGAAATATAACTGCATATGTTGCTTGGATACGATACGATTAAGTTTGAAAGAATTTTAGGTATATTTGTCTTCAACACCAAATCTAGACTATGATATTTGCTCTCCGCTCATATTAATCCATTGTTTCAGACAATGAAGGATCCATTAAGGGGTAAGGGGGGTCAGCTGGCCCCCGGAACTTCGATGACCAGCCATAGATACCTTAGGTACTGACCCTCTGCATTTCGGTGAATGTCCATAGATACCTTGAGTGCTGCCCTTTTGAAGATTAGAGTTGGCTTCATACATGCCCTCTAACCGACTTAAGGCCTACCAAAACCCGATGAATGTCCATAAATACCTTGGGTGCTACCCCTTGCGTACATTAACATGTGTGTAGTATGCATTTTCAAATGACTTCAAGCCTACCAAGATATAATGAAATGGCGATATACATGATATTTCTGGTTAAAACAATTTCCGAGCTATGTGTGCTATTCTTACTAGCCCCCCTAATATTATTTCCTAGATCCACCATTGGTTTCAGATAAGAATTAAACATTTGGACACAAATTACCATTTTGTTTGAGAAATGAGTGCAAAAAGGAGATTTGATCATTTAATTTCACTTTCCATTATTTTTGCAGTAATGTCTGAATCTCAGGCTGAAATTCTTTGCTGAGATTGAGGGGTATTAAGCGACAAGTGTCATCATTCTGTGAGGTGCCATGGGTCATAATCCTGTGGGATGATAAGTTAAGATGAATAACAGGTTGTTAGAGGAAAAGTTAGTTTCTTATAGCTAGAGTTAGTTAGCTTTCAAGTTTAATGTGCTATGTAGTTGATATAGAAAAAGTGAGGTGCGTTGTAACTCTCAACTGATGTCATACAAGTCAGTGTTTCTTCGTTTCTTCAACATCTCTCTCTCTCACTCTCTCTCTCTCTCTCTCTCCAAACATTCTCTTATGGTATGAGTAGCAGGCCTTACTGAAACACAATGTTTCACTCCTTTATAGACTCGCTTAACCTTTAGTCTAAATATACTAAACACTTGTTAATGCTATAAATGAAATTGATAAATAAGTTGAATGCCTAAATGAGACTTGCCTTTTATATAGATGTGAAAGGGGTTAACTATAAAGGTTGTGCATGAAGATACAATAGTTGCGTCTGTTAAAGGAAGCAAACTAGTGAGCGATCTGATTATGATATGATATGGAGTAATTGTAGGATTAAATAGTCATGATCCGTCTTGGAGTGATTGTAGGAAAGGATTGTCTCTGTACAGTTACAATTATCCAGTACAAAAATATTCACACATCAATTTATATGGCATCAGATCAACACGATCCTGGTGACTCTAGACACCCATTCATCTTCCGCTACAAACACAACCAACCTTTACTACAAACATAGCTAACAGAGGCTGTGCAAAACACACCTGATCCTCTCACCTTACATCAATCGGATTCATCGAATCTTGTTCTAGTTCAAAACTCCTCAAATGACACAACTATTGATAATGGTGCCATTCTATGCGCATTCCTCTAAGTGCAAAGAATGAGCTCGAGTCTATTGATGGGTCTATTAATTAAAGCTCCGGCAACCACCAATGCAAAAGGACATGGATCCTCTCCGGATCCATTGGTCCTAATCTACCAAGTTAAATCATTTGGGTTACTGAAATTTTATCCAATGGCTACAAAAAGGGGCCCATTCTAAAAGTTATAATAACTTTAACCGTTGGATCAAATTTCAATGACCCGGATGATATGACTTGGTAGATTAGGACCAATGGATCCGTAAAGGATCCATGTCCAATGCAAAATTTCCCATTTGGCAGAGATGCAACGACATGGTACTCTTGTGGACCTTGCAATCAGTGCACAGTACTATTGTTGGCAGTATACTTTATTGCAAACCTCGACTATTGTGTGGAAGATGTTTGCACCTAAAATATGCACAATTTTACTTAATTGGGTTTAAAAGCCAAAATATGACATTTTGGGGGGACTAGTTTCAAATATACCAAAAGTTGCATGTGAGAATGTTTCTCCACATGATTTAAATCGATGGCTTTATTGTGAGTAAGGACGTTGGCAGGCTTGGAGATGGACATGTGCAGGAAAGAAGCCAACTTGCTTTTTTTAAATATTAATCTGTTGCAAGTAGAATTAATACACATGTGGTGGAAAACTGAGTTGGCCTCTTTTATAATATCCTTGTAAACATTTACTTTTAGCCAAGCACCCTTTACTTTCCTGGTTTATTGCTTTGCTGCTCACTCGGTAGTATAGATCTCCTTTGTATTTTTATTTACAACCTTCAAACCCATTCCCCAAACCACTAGAAATTGCCACAAGACTAGAGCAACTTGCCTGATCCCTTGGGAACAAGCTTGAACCTTGTATTTGGCATCCCTTTGTACTTATAATGTTTTGTACTTTAAATAATTACATTTATGCACAACTCATTTCTAGTCATTTAATTTACAAGCAATCTATAATACCAGTCATTTACACTTCTAGCAAACCTGCCATTTACATGTTGTTACATTTCTCCACATAAGTGAAGTCCTTATCTTTATGGCAAAGAAAGAACCTTGATTTGAGCCACTCCCACTCAATGGCACAATCTCTTGGTTAGAAGCCGTAGTCAGGCGCAATCTCAATCATTCAAATCCCGTCTACTAGCGGCATCTTGTAATGGCACGCTCGCACCCACTAGTTTATTGTTCGAGTAAATTTCTAAAATGTCCGTGAGGTCCATGGTGAATTTAGGGGGCAAACAGAAGGATCTTGAGGATCGATTCTTACAAGGCAATAATTCAAGGACTTATCAGATTCAACAAGAAATTGGCTAATGCTGCCAGGGACAGCGGTCAATCTTCACATACTACACCAAACTCAAAGATCTTTGGGATGAACTGTCTTCTTACTCTAAGCCCCTCACTTGTGATTGTGGAGGTTTGATCAGTTGTCGGCAAAGGTGGAGGGGTACCATCAATCGTTGGAAAAGCAAAATGATGATGGAGAGATGAGAGGAAGAAGGAGGCAACTATGAGCCTAGAAAACGTGAACATTAAGGTTTCATCAATTTCTTAAAATAAAAAATAAAAAAAAAGGCTGAAATGCCTCAGTGAGTCTTCTCGTTCCCCTAAATGGATGGATAACCATGGTTTGCCACCAATTGCCCCCCCTTTTTTTCAAAAAAAAAAAAAAAGATCATTCTTTTAATTAATGTGATTATTCACCTCTGCTGGTACAAGATCTTTTTTAAATTGATGTGTTAGTCCACTTCAATTTCTGTATAAGGTGATATGAAAAATATTTAGATGGTAAGAATAACATTACTCTAAACTAAAACTTAAAAATAAAAATAAAAATAAAAAAAAGTAATAAGCACTCTTGTCATACATCATTCCTTGCTACATTATAGTAAACAGCCAATTTCTTTTTCAAAGAGTAAACTACTCCAATTTGGATACTACAATTTCTTCACTTATAATTGAGAAAAGCATTGTACGCAACTCCATCATATAAGTATGGTGCTGTGGGATGACAGTTCCACGCTTGTTGTTCTCCATTTATATTGCATGGCTTGGCTATTTGCTGAATAATCTTCTCTATTTCTTCGTCTGTAGAGTTTCTATTTGAGAGCTTCTCAACCATCACGGGAGTAACACAGTTGGTTTGAGTAGCCGCATGCACAAAATCACTTCCATACTTCATCTTAAAAAATTTCTCAAGTGTCAATAATTCTGGAATCTCGTGGAAGCATTTTTTAGCTGCAAAAATTAAACTACTAATCGCTTGTTTTAAATTTTCGGGGCATTCCCTCTGCACTTGAATAACTAAGAGCCTACCCCTAACTAAGTTACAAAAACCCTTGATCAACACGTACGCCTCCAAAATGTTTTCTTCTCTTATCAGATCTTCGATCAAAATACGAGCAGTGCAAGTTTTATTAATTGGCTCTTGACCACACTGCAAGAGAGCAGAAATTTTGTTCCTCATCTTCACAATGTCCTCCTCTTTCCTCTTCCTTAACTTGCGTATCCTATCCACCACCAACACTATTGTTTTGTCGCATTTTGAGGAGTCGAAAGCCCTGTTGAAAAGCCTAAGCCTCAAGTTCTCGCTGAGCTTCATGTTGTCGGGGCACGTAAGAGAACTCGACAATTTGAGGTGTGAACTTACGAGGGTGGAGGAATATATAGAGACTCTGAGTGAGTATTTTTTTATTTATTTTTTTTGTTTGGGTCAGGCATTCATAGTGAGTTGAATTAGGGTTAAATTAAGAAAACCCAAATCGAATAGGACGTGGCGGACCAGATTTCCTTATTTGTCTAGGAATCCTTTTCCTTTCCGGATTGGGAGTTGATTATAATTAGGGAACTTTCATGAAAGGGGTTTAGACTAAGTTTATTTTAATATAAAATCATGCTATAACTTTATTTAATTAAAAAGACTTAAATTTTAATGAAAAACCCTTAAATTTTAATAAAAGGGACAAAAGAACTTAAATTTTAATGAAAATGACATAATTTGAATATTTAAAAAATTTAAAAAAAAATTTGACACGCGGACTCATGTCCTCACACTGTTTATGAAACTTTTACACTGTTTATGAAAACTTATGACACTGTTTATGAAACTTACTACACTATTTATGAAACTTAACGGTAATGCACCACTGTGTTGTGTTTGTAACCTGGCCCACTCTGTTTTCTTCCCCTTTTCTTTGTTCTTTTCCTTTTCTCCTGTGAACACTCCAGAACTCTCTCTCTTTTCGAACTCTCTGCCTTCTCTCTAAACCACCATAGCCAAAAAGAACTCCAAGCACCATCACAACAAATTCCAATTTAATTGAGACCCCAAACCACCAAAATACAAGACATGCGCAAGCTGGGGATAACTATGGTACCATTGCATGTTAAATTTTGTAATGGGAAGTAGGATAATCCAAGCAGGGGTTCTCGGTGAGAGTTGCTCTAATGGAATCAAGCTACAACCCTTGAAAAAAAGAGGTAAAATTATCTTGGTTTTGTTGTAATTTGTTGCTAGTAATGTCTTCTAGCATCTTGGATCAAATCTGGTTTGAAATAGTTTTGGGTGGACCACCCTCTTACGTTCCAGTGCGACTGCTTCCGGAGCTACATGAGTTTTTGGGCACGGTGGGACATTTCGCCAAACCGGCAGCTGATCCATGAAATCCTTGAGGCTTTTGAGGAGAGGTTGGTGGAGAAGAAGAGGAGCAGAAACTCATGTTCTTGAATTTTGACATGGAAGTCAGCCAAGAAGTAAAAAATAGATATTTATCATAGGCATTCATCCCTAAGATGCACAATTTGAAAGAACTTTTGGTGTTTGGAAAAATAGATTGACAATGATTCTTCACACGCGTAGCTTCGCTTTTGAAAAACAGGTACAAACTGTTGTTCCTTCAATGACTTTACACAATTTTATTTGGAATCATTTCATGACGATCAAGATTTACAACCTTATGATGATGATGAGCTACTTCCGCCTGCACATGAATAGATTGTTGATGAAAGTTCTATTCATAGGCGAGAGATAGATGTTCAACAAGTAAGAATTGCTAATCTTTTTAGAGCATCTCCAATGGGTGTCCCTATTTAGAGACTCCGACCACCAAATAGAAGAACTCATTAAGAGACTTATAGAGAATTTTTGTGTCCCTATAGGAATATTACCTCCAATTGGTGAGTCCTTATAGTAGAATTTCTAAATTTGAGGTTTTTACGATTTTATGCTATAATTTGATTAGGTATTTGTATGTGTTAATTTTTTTTTAATTAATTTCACATTATGTTGTCGTAAAATATTTTGTGACCATTTCGACAAAAAAATTTCATTTTTTGATACCAATTTTTTTCTTCACAAAACCATAACAAGAATGAATCTTGGCCGTTCATTTCAAAGCCAAAATGAGAGTAGAAGCCATATTTTATTGTTCCTGAACCGCTGATCCTCAACTGTAGAAAAATTTTGAAAGCCATAATAAACTCTGACCGTTCATTTGAAAAAGAAAAAAAAATAAAAAATAAAAAATAAAGAAGAGAACACATAATAAAAAGGAGAACACATTATGCGCTGTCTAGTAGCATTCTTGCTGTACAACAGCATTCGGATTAATGCGGTTGTCTTGCGAGTCCAAAACAACCCGCGCGTCCTTGGCAAGTAGGCTAATTGCTGAACAGCAGCATTCAAATTGGTGGGCCAATTTTTCCACCCAAGTTGTCATTAGGCTCTATCATTTGAATCTATATACAATTCCTATAGGTAGGTGCATACACTAAATATTTGGTAAGTCTCTATATTTTAAAGATTCACTTTCCGATCAATTTGTTACTATATTTGTTTTATACACATTTTATATAGTGGTTATTCCTATTTAAGAACTTTATTGGAAATACTCTTCTGTCTAGTTAATACTTATTTCACATTTGATTGTCACGCAACTATAATGTGTCTTTTTGTTTTTAAGAAACAAATGGTCAATTATATATATTTTCACATAAATAAATATCATTTTATTAATGATCATTAATTTGTTTATTTAATTTCCATCAACAATTTATTCAAGTTGTATGCTAATTATTTACGGAAAAAAGCTAATGCTAAATTTCTTGAGAAACAATAGTACATAATTTATTATTAATGAAAGTGCTTTTTTATTTGACAGTCAAGCACTCTATTTAATATTAAAATCGTTTCTATACAATGCAAAATACTTAGTTGGTTGCCAAATAACAAAAAACTTTCTTGTAAAAGGGCTATTAAAAAGTATTACAAACAAAAAGTGTTAGTGAGTAAAAATACTTTATAGAAAAACACCTTTAAGCAGGCCTCTTTGTGACCATGGTAATCAAGAGTTAAAAGTTGGAACAAAGCGCCACTACGCACATCTATTTTTCATCGTGCGTTTTGTTGTAAATAGTGGGTATGTTTGCCCACATGTGTATAGTAAATACTCATATGCTAAATAGTAACCATTTTGTAAGTTTCCATTGAAGTGGCTCTATAAATAGAGCACTTCGATTGTTCAAAGTTGGTGAATATCAAGAAGAGAAAAGAAAGAAATATAATACTCTCAGTATCCCTAATTGTCTAATACCTGCAATATTTTTGTTGTGGAAGTAACAACTAAACAGAATGATATTTTGCATCACTTCGTCATCGCTCTTAGCAAATGTTATCTCTCTAAATTTTGCCTATTTATAACACGTTATCAGCACGATTCTCTAACCTTTTTCCTTTTTCCCTTCATTGAAAGAAAAAAAAAAATTTCCTCAAAGGTTTTTACTGTTCTTCTTCTTCCTCTGCCTCAATTGTTGGATATACCCACGCGAAGAATTGTTTGCACCATGTTTACTTCTAGTTCTTAACCTAACTGTTACTTATATCTTTGATTTCTTGTTTGGTGTAACTCTTGACTATTAACTCAGTGTTTATTTATGCAATCCAAGATGGTTCGGTATCATTGACACACCCCGACCGAGGCCAAGGCATGCTGGCCATCACGTGAGAGTGACGCAACCATGTGCACAATAAGGAAGCAATAAAGATAAGGATTATAAGAATAATTAAAAACCGAATTACTAGAGTGCACTACTAAACAGAAAGTGATAGGAGTTAGTTACAACAGTAAACACTCCTAATCAGAGCATAAAAGTCTAGGTGCAGTCAAGTAGGACAACTACTAGTTATACAGTACCAGGAATGTCCTACTATTATTTAGATAGGTCAGAACCGCTGACGTCCTCAAGCCTCCAACAGCAAGCTTACTTAAAACCTGGAGGGGCGCAAAACAGAAAACGTGAGTGGGCAAAAACAAATGTTTTACAAAATCATTTTCTTTATCAACATATCTAACCCCTCGCTGTAAAACATGTATAATTTTCCCAGAATCAAGATATAAGCATATACATACATATATATATATACACACACACACCTGAAATCATAACAATTCAATTCATGCTTCACATAATCATATTCATATGTATGTCATGCCAAAATATAACAAGGTAAACAATCCAGGTAAGAATGATTTCATAGAAATATGATATGTTAGCCGGAACCCCTGTGGTAGGCTGTATGGCTGAATTCATAGCTCAAAAGTTAATCTAGCCGAAGTCACTACAATGACCTATACGGCAATATACTGCATATAAGTCGGAACCACTAAAAAAGGGTCTGTACGACAAGATTTAGGGTAATATAATTATGCTCAATTCTATTCTCTCATAATAGCCGGGCGATAAATCGCTAGTCACCTACGAGTCGGAACCATGAATAAGGTCTATACGACAAGACTATGCACTTAAGTTGGATCCAATATAAACATATAGGGCAGGAGGTGACGTAAATAAACAAGCATGTACTTTATATCTCTAGCTAAATCACCATCACCCTAGGTGCAGTTTTATGAGCTCAACATTATTCAATAACATATCACATCATCGATGATTCACATAATCAAACATAACTTACCTGAATTTACATGTGCCTCCACAGCACCACATTTATATATATATATATATATATATGCAACCATGAAATGCATATTTAGAATATAAAAGCATTTGGCGTATTATTTCAAAACATACTTTCCTTAATAAATGCATTTCTGGGAAATATATCAAGTATATAAATATATACTGAAAACAAAAGCCCACTCATTGGTATGTTGACGAGTCGTAACCCCCGAGTCGCCCGTGGATACGCTCGTCCTCAGGATAAGTCTCACATATATGCGAATTAACTATAAAAACGTTATTTTAAAGCACATGGGCAAAACTAGCTAATAACTTCTCATACATTCCGTTAAAATCTAACAGATTCCGTTAAAACTGACTGATGGCGTTAGCATATTCCATCCAAACTGACGGAATATGCCGTCATCTTCTCCGGCGAGTCGCCGGTCGCCGGAAAACTAGGTAAAACTTTAAAACGTCTATTCTCGCTTGTTTCTTAACCAAAACTTATGAAATTTGAACTATTGGAAAGCTAACAATATATAGAATCATGTTATACCATTTTTAAGCCTTGAAATCCACTAGAATTTACCTGAGGAACTCGATAATCCGGTCAACTTCGAAACTAGTTATCCCGACGTCCAAATTTATCCAACAAACCACCCCGAGCCTCCTCAAGACCTCCTAAAGCTCTTTATGAGCTTGAAATTCCCTGAAATCAACATACTTACGTCCACATGAATAGTGACCAAAATCGGGACTAGGGTTTCCACGTGAAATCGAAGGTTTCCTTACCTGAAATTGATACCTTTGAACTCGTAGGGTCCTCAAGAACACAATGGTACCATTTTCTTCCTAGATCTATGAGGTTTGAGAGGTCCTTGGTGTTTGTCCGTACAAGAAGAAGGATAGAGAGAGAGAGTCTGAGAGATAAGAGAGAGAGCACGGGAAGAAGAGAGAATGAGTGAGTGTAATGTGTGTGTGATGCACATGGTCACCAATCCAAGACCATAAAACAACCTCTAAGTCTCAATATGTCACACATACACACTACCATTTTCCCGTCCAAGGATAAAACTGTCATTTTACATCACTGATAAATGAATTTCGGGATGGGCTGTGACAATCTCCCCACCTTATAAAATTTCGTCCTCGAAATTATACATAACAAATACATCGATTAATAATCATAAAATAAGTGTGGGTACATCTTTCTCATCCGATCCTCTGTCTCCCAAGTAGCTTCTTCCACTAAATGATTTCTCCATAATGTTTTCACCAAACGCACGGTCTTGTTCCTTAGTTCCTTATCCTTCCAATCCAAAAGAGTCACTGGTTCCTCATCATAAGTCAAATTAGGATTAATTTCCAAAGGTTGAGGAGGAATCACATGCGAAGGATCTAAAACATAATGTCGAAGCATCGAAACATGAAATACATCGTGCACCTTGGACAACTCTGGAGGCAACTCACGCCTATAAGCAACCTCACCGACTCGTTCGGTGATCATATATGGTCCACTGTACCTAGGACTCAACTTTCCTTTCTTTCCAAATCGTACAACACCTTTCCAAGGTGATAGCTTCATGAATACCCAATCGCCTACATCATACTTCCAATCAGTGGCATGTTTGTCTGCTAAGCTCTTTTGTCGATCTTGGGCCGATTTCAGGTTAGACTTAATTACCTTAACATTTTGAGTAGTCACATCCACAATCTCAGGGCCCACTAAAACTCTTTCGCCAACCTCTAACCAACATAGAGGCGTACAGCAAGATTTCCCATAAAGTGCCTCAAATGGTGTCATACCAATACTCGAATGATAACTGTTGTTGTAGGCGAACTCCATCAAATCCAAACAATCATGCCAACTATCTCCAAACTGCAGCACTGAAGATCTCAACATATCCTCTAATGTCTAAATGGTCCTCTCAGATTATCCATCTATCTAAGGATGATATGCCGTACTAT